AAGAAGAATCCCAGAGTGTCAGCTAAAGACCTACAGAAATCTCTGGCACATGCTAACATTTTTGTTGACACATCTACAATAAGGAAAACATTAAACAAGAATGGAGTACATGGGAGGACACCACGGAGGAAGCCATTGCTGTCCAAAAAGAATATTGCAGCACGTTTGAAGTTTGCAAAAGAGCACCTGGATGTTCCACAGCACTACTGGCAGAATATACTGTGGACAGATGAAACCAAGATTGAGTTGTTTGGGAAGAACACACAACACTATGTGTGTGGAGAAAAAAAGGCACAGCACACCAACATCAAAACCTCATCCCCACTGTGAAACATGGCGGAGGGAGCATCATGGTTTGGGGCTGCTTTGCTGCCTCAGGGCCTGGATGGATTGTTGTCATTGATGGGAAAATGGATTCCAGAGTTTATCAAGACATTTTGCAGGAAAACGTACGACCATCTGTCCGCCAACTGAAGCTCCGCAGAGGATGGGTGATGCAACAGGACAATGACCCAAAGCATACAAGTCATTCAACAAAACAATGGCTGCAACAGCACAGAATACACCTTCTGGAGTGGCCCAGTCAGAGTGCTGACCTCAACCCCATTGAAATTCTGTGGCATGACCTTAAGAGAGCGATTCACACCAGACATCCCAAGAATATTGCTACACTGAAACAGTTTTGTGAAGAGGAGTGGTCCAAAATGACTCCAGATCGTTGTGCAGGTCTGATCTGCAACTACAGGAAACGTTTGGTTGAGGTTATTGCTGCCAAAGGAGGGTCAACCAGTTATTAAGTCCAAAGGTTCACATACTTTTTCCTCCCTGCACTGTGAATGTTTACATGTTATGTGCAATTAAACCATGGCAACATCTAATATTTGTGTAGTATTATGTTCAGCAGACTGTGTTCTTCTATTGTTGTGACTTAGATGACGTTCAGAGCACATTTTATGCCCAATTCATGCAAAACTCCACGTAATCCCAAGGGGTTCACATACTTTTTCTTGCAACTGTAGGATAACATTATTTGCTTCTAAAGGCAAATGCTAAACTCCTCTAGGAGCCAGGGGCGGACTGACAACTCATGGGGCCCCCGGGCAATAGGGGATCATGGGGCCCCTGTGTCCTTGCCCAAACTCAAAAAAGCCTATGAAAAAGGTACCAGGGGCATCTCATTGGGCCCCCTACTGACCCCGGGCCCTCGGGCAGTGCCCGAGTTTCCAGATGGTCAGACCGCCCATGCTAGGAGCATCAATTTTGAAGCCAGTATATTATTTCTTTTCCTTGGGGCATCATTAAGTGATCAGAAGCAGTGTGATACACCCCCCCCCCCAATCTGCCTACACAGGTAATATATCTAGCACCATCTATCTCATGCAGACAAACAGCAGCATGGGTCATTTTTCAAATCTTCTCTAGGCGTGTTAGTGGTGATTTATAGTAACTTTAGCATGAAAGTATGAATACAAGAGGCAGGTCAGGGGCAGGCCTGCAATGTAATGTAAACAACAGAGCAAAGATACTTTTTATGGCTTCATGTAATTCCATGGCATTTGACAAGCAGGCCGATTTACAGCTATATTTAGATAAGGAGATTCAAGCTGTAGGCTCTGAGCAGCATCAGCATGAATAGGAAGTCTATAAGAAACAAACTTTCATGTCTTGGAGTTAAAGGGTATGTTTAAGCAATACCCAAAATTAACCCCAAACCTCCTTTTTCTCTTCTACAGCATTTGTTTTCTTTTTCCTACCAAACAGCTTTCATCACTCACATCATTGTCAGACTTATAGGAGTCTATGAGGGGAAAATGCTGGGAGCCGTATTCCTACTGACGTAGGAGTGCCCCCAGAACTACATCCCCAAGGAACCCTTTCCATAAACACTGGGCAGGCTCTTGAGCATCAAGGTATCAGCGCTGTTTTGCCTGGAAAGAAATCAATGTATTAATGTGGAGGGGACAGAGAGAGGCAGGAGATAGAGTTCTGTAGCCCAGCAGGCAGGGCTGATAATGCTGGCTGAACGTTCAGAGCATCAAAGGCTGTGGGGTTGATTTACTAAAGACAAATAGACTGTGCATTTTGCAAGTGCAGTTGCTCTAGACCAGGGATTCTCAAACAGGGTTCCATGGTACCCTAGGGTTCCTTCAGAGGTTGCAAGGGATTCTTTGAGCAATAAGCAATTTCTGCTTCTGAGACAAGTTTCCACCAAAACCATTGATCTTAGTTATCTGTAGATGGTAATTCCTAGTAACCACAAATGTAAGGAGCTTTAATCCCACTGTTAGGGGCGGACTGACAACTCATGGGGCCCCCGGGCAATAGGGGATCATGAGGCCCCTGTGTCCTTGCCCAAACTCAAAAAAGCCTATGAAAAAGGTACCAGGGGCATCTCATGGGGCCCCCTACTGACCCTGGGCTCTCAGGCAATGCCCGAGTTTCCAAATGGTCAGTCCGCCCCTGCCCACTGTGCATCACTAATATATCATGAGCTGTAGATATAGTCATTTTAGCAAGGGTTCTCTTAGACAGGAAACTGATTTCAAGGGTTCCTCTCTGTTGAAAAGGTTGAGAAAGGCTGCTCTAGACCTTAGTAAATTAAATGAAGCTTCAGTTTGCAAAGAAAACCTAATCACAGTCGTGGAAAATAAAAGAAAAAGCATTTTTGCTAGCACCTGATTAGATGAAGGAAGTCATCAGAGCTCTGGTGCAACTGCACTTGTAAAGTGCGCAGTCTATTTGCCTTTAGTAAATCAACCCCACTGTGTTGTTAGCCCAGTCTGGAAGTTGGTAGCATACTAAATTTCTGGCAGATTTCGATGTAATTTTTTTGTACCTGCAACAATTTTAAATATATTAATTGGTTTGTGTAAAAGTTATAGCTGCTCCAAACTATGGTATATTTATTGGAATTCACACAGCTTTTACTCTCTGTTTACCGATCACATTTCTTGAGGTGTTAAAATGCCAGTGCAGTACAACCCCCCCCCCCCCCAAATTACCCCTTTTTGGAAAGTAGACACCCCAAGAATTTTGCATGTTGAGTCCACGGAACATTTTATTTTTTTCCACAAATTTTTTGAAAATGACAATTTTTTTTTACACAAAGTTATCACTTTAATGATATATTGCTCATGCATGCCATGGATATATGTAGAATAACACCCCAAAATACATTCTTCTACGTCTCCCAAGTATCGGGATACCACATGTGAGAGACTTTTTGGCAGCCTAGCTACATACAGGCCCCCCAAAATCCAATGACCACCTCCAGGCTTTCAAAGGGCATATTTCCTCATATCACTTCCCCACTACCTATCACAGTTTTGGAGGCTCTAAAATGCCAGGATAGTACAAACACCCCCCCCCCCCCAAAAAAAATGACCTTTTTTTGGAAAGTAGACACCCCAAGGAATTTGATAGGAGGCATGATGAGTATTTTAAAGATATCATTTTTGTCATAGGGTTTTGAAAAGAAAAAAAAAGAAAGTAAAAAATACATTTTTTTTTCTTTCTTCGTTTTCCAAAAATGTGGCAACAAATGAGATCTGCAAAATATTCACCATGTCTTTTGGATACCTTGGGGTATAGCAACAAAGTCTATACATTTTTATTATTGATAGGCAATGCTTTAAAAGCCTTTACTGGTCACCAATTTATATTTACACAGTAGGTCTAGTACTAGAATTACTGGCCTTGATCTGACGATCACTGTGATATCTGACATGCATGGTGCAACCACTGTATACATACTGTCACGGGCAGTGATCTAGTTAGGTTTTGTGTTGCCCTAGGCAACAAAAAACTCCTCTGCCCCCATGGACACTGGCCAACACAACCCCCCTTTCCCCTCCCATGGAGAGAGCCCCCTTGAAATATGCTGCCCTGGGCAAGTGCCTTGTTTGCCTTGTGGTATATATGCCCCTGGTCACAGGGTCAACACTTGTGCGCGCAGTGGGGCAAGGGTGCTTTCCTTTTTTTTTTTCATTATTTTGATTTTTTTAATTATTTTTACACCGTCTCTTTCTTTTTTTTTTTTTATCACTTTTATTGCTCTCACAGGGAATGGAAATATCCCCTCTGACTGCAATAGACATTGACAGGTATTGTTTTTTGAGAAATCTGGGGTCTATCAGACTCTAGATATCTCCTCTGCCCTTACATTATCTAATCGCACCAAGATTGGTGCGACCACATGCTTTCCCAATTTACAAATGGTGCTGTTTATATCCTGCAAAACTGAAGCTGCATTCTCGGATTCCCCTGTGGGACAGGAGAGCCCAAGAAAAAACTGTGGAAGGCAGCAGGACCCCCTCCTGAATGTTCCTTCCCACTGTTTGTAAAAACTATTCAGCAGCTAATTGGCCACTAGGATTACTTTTAAATGAAAGCCGACTGTCAGCTGAAAACTATACTAGGATGATGTCTGTAGCTGCAGGCATCATTCCGGCATAACCACTCAAATTCCAGAGGTACCAGTATATTGCTGGTCCATGTTGGCCATATATATAACAGCAGAGAACACGGGCATACAATGAATTGGGTCTGTGGACCAATATGACCACAATTCATTCTTTTTTGTAATGCCCATGTTGAATGTAAGTCCCAAAAGAGTTTTAAATTCAAAAACTGTGATAGGTTTCAACGCGGCAATCTAGAAAGAGCTGAATTTGGGTGGACGGTGATGTATTGTTGTGCATATAAATTGCTTTGGCCCACAAACAATTGGTACAAATCTACTGTGAAAAACAGAGGACTGGCTAAACGCTAGTGCTGGCAGCAAACGGGGATGATCCTACTAACACTGCATTTTTGGGGACACTATACAAAGGAGGCACTAGTATAGGTCTGTTCATGATCATTATATTTAGAGATGAGCGAAGTATTCAAAAATTCGATTCGACTGATTCGGCGAATTCGTGGACAATATTCGATTCGAGTCGAATATATTCGCTGTGAATTTAACTTAAAAAAGGGTGTTTCTAGGCTTCAGAGAGACTTAATATTAGTGCAGAACACTGTACCTTTAATTTAAATGCCCTTGGAGTCTGCTGGGGAAGAGAAATAATACTGTCAGTCAGTATGACATGCAGATGAGTGCCGTCGATCTTAGAATCACCGCACACTTCACTCATTTGGCCAGTCACGGGGCCAAAACCAGTGTTTGGAGCCACAGTGTGGCGGTGGAGGCAGCAGCAATGGGAGGCCATACAGCAACCTATGACAAAATGGAAACCAGCAGGAGTGTGAGGAGACCTCAAAGTGGCACATGGCAGAGTGGGAGCAATGGGAGGCGGTACAGGGACCCATGTCACACTGTGGACCCAGCAGCAGCGTGACGAGGCGGTACGGGGGCCCATGGCAGATTTGGGGCCTGGCAGCACCTATGGGAGGCCTGTAATCTGCCAGCAACCTATGACAAAATGGAAAACAGCAGGAGTGTGAGGAGACCTCAAAGTGGCACATGGCAGAGTGGGAGCAATGGGAGGCGGTACAGGGACCCATGTCACACTGTGGACCCAGCAGCAGCGTGACCAGGCGGTACGGGGGCCCATGGCAGATTACAGGCCTGGCAGCAGCAATGGGAGGCCCGTAATCTGTCAGCACCCTATGACAAAAAATGGAACACACCAGCAGTGTGTGAGGAGACCTGAAAGTGGCACATGGCAGAGTGTGGCGATGGAGACAGCAGCAATGGGAGGCCGTACAGGGACCCATGAGAGACTCTGGACCTGGCAGCAGCATGAGGAGGCGGTATAGGGGCCCATGGCAGATTAGGGGCCTGGCAGCAGCTATGGGAGGCCCGTAATCTGCCAGCACCCTATGTCAAAAAATTCAACACACCAGCAGTGTGTGAGGAGACCTGAAAGTGGCACATGGCACAGTGTGGCGATGGAGACAGCAGCAATGGGAGGCCGTACAGGGACCCATGAGAGACTCTGGACCTGGCAGCAGCATGAGGAGGCGGTATATAGGGGCCCATGGCAGATTAGGGGCCTGGCAGCAGCTATGGGAGGCCCTTAATCTGCCAGCACCCTATGTCAAAAAAATTGAACACACCAGCAGTGTGAGGAGACCTGAAAGTGGCACATGGCATAAGAGACTGTGGACCTGGCAGCAGCATGAGGAGGCGGTATAGGGGCCCATGGCAGATTAGGGGCCTGGCAGCAGCTATGGGAGGCCCGTAATCTGCCAGCACTGTCTTGGAAATTCGCTTTAACGAATTTCTCCTTACCGTGAGTACTCGCAGTTGGATGCGCAGAAATCCCCCATAAAGCTGTGCGAATCTTGCTTACCACGACTGCAGCCAAACTACACGATTCCTGCCCATCCAAATACTTTGGCTCTGTTGAGATGTGGGGGAATTAGAGCTCTGTTACCCTAGAATGATCAAACGACACTCTCAGGATGGTGTTGCAACTCACATAAGGGCCGGTTTTAGACTCAGCTCTCTGTTTTATTAAAAATACACACACGCCCCCCACATGAATAAAGTCAATCCCCTCCCACCAAACAATGCAATGGGGAGTGCCTATACACAGGATGTATATTCCAATTGGA